ATTCCGAGGTTTGTTGGTTAATTTTCTTGTCTAATAATACATTACGAATATGTACTTTAAATAAATACGGCGGGAAATATTTTATTTAGATTAACGGAAATGATTTAATGAAATCCCGATAGTGTATTTCGTGACTTCAATATTTGGCTGTTGGCCAAAATCAAACTAAACAAGATGAATTAAATGTTTTACGCGATGTCAGAGTTCCGAAAAATGTAGAATGGACGTAATGTGGGTTTACAGCATCAATGAGATAATAATAATGATACAAACGTTTATATTTTACATACAGCGTGTAACAACAATAACACGCTGCTTATACTCGTGAAATTTCATCTAGCTATGTATAACATAAACATCCTGTGAGAATAACTTATGGCATGAATAAGGAACGGAGGCGTGGGGCGGCTGGGGCGGCGGGGCGGCCGGGCGGCGGGGAGGGGACCTTCTGAAATATTGACACAATATCCGGGCGGAAGTGACGTCACGCGGGAGGCCGCGAGAGCCTCATACGGTCCCAGCTTATCTCTGGAGATGCGAGAGATGTTTACGAGATGATTGTAAGAAGCGTTGACTGCCGAGATACAAGTAGATTTACCTATTCGACTGTATTGTAAAAATGGAGCTTTAAAAACTAAGTGAATAAAAAAACATGATATAATATGTTAGTAGACAGGACTGTAGATAATTGCTCCAAATGCACTCAACTTTGTTATTAGTAACGTGAAATGCTTTTAAAGTATTCGTTGGAGATAATTTATATAATCTTTATGATTCATTGGTTGGTTTTTGTATTGCCAGAAAACAGAAACAGTTCAGTCCCTTGAAGTACATGATTTACAAAGGATACGGCTATGAATAAGCGATGTCCCGCGGGGACGCGGTCTCTTGTGGTCCTGCCGGCCCAGCTCGGTCTCGCCCGGACCAGTCCGGTCTCGCCCGGTCTTAACGACGGCGAAGCGTGTTTCTCGGCCGGCCTCGTCCCCATTCGGGTATTTTTTCGATAATGTTATTTCACTCGGGGCTAAAGCTTTTACAAGTAAATAGCCCTCCGTATTTACAATTCATTAACTTGAACAATTCGTGTTCCTTTGTTTAAATTATGTAATCCTGTTATGTTCTCGATATTCTTTTGCGTTAGCGGGCATTCTTTTTGTAACGAATAAAAACAAAGTAACAGTTTTTTTCCTTTTTGGTATTTTCTTGTGGGATGTTTACACTGTTATTTAGTGGTTTACTATAAAATTACATGATATACGTATAGTTCAAAAATTGGCAATTGTCTTTTTATAAGGATCTTTTCATCGTAATGACATGGTTACCTACATCATCTACTTTGTTTGTGATAAATAACAGTAATCAGCTTTTTCTATGTATTTGTAAGAAATGTCAACTGTAGGAGATTTTTAATTATAATAACAATTGACGTTGAAGATTTTCCCCATCAGCGGCACACCTACAGACTGCGCCCGACCGCCATCTCTCGGCGAAGCGCGCGCATTTTTCATTTCTCTGAAAGCTAATTTAGATTTGTGTCGGCTGAAGGCGATTGCCTTCGTTTCGAAACTGCCACATAATAACAATGTCAGCTTGTCTTAGATTATTATCCGAATGGATTTGTTTAGTGTCCTTATTTTTTCTTAAACTTTCCGACTGTCGCCTCTCCTTCGAATTAATTTTGTATAGATCCGATCTTAGTGAACACAAATATTATTTATTTATGTCCAATGTAATGTTCCATTGATTTATGTTAATAATGTTTAAAAGTTAAACTTATCTTGCAAGTTATAACAATTTCTAGTTGCTCCATCCTGAATGTATATGTGTGGACATTAGACAAGGCGCCGGCAGCAGCCGTACCCAAAGGATTTTATTTAAATTAAGCAATCAGCACCGCGCGAGCACTGCCCCCGCCCCTCGCCCCCCGCCCCTCGCTTCTCGCCCTTCCTCTATCAGCTCTACAATGTTGTACTTACACAGTTTTGCATTGATGGTAATTGAATTCATAATATCTGTTGAATTTATATTTCAAAACTATAATTGTAATAAACACTTCCGATTACAATTGTCTCCATTTTTAAGATGATGATCATGTTAACATTTGTTATGGTCGATTTAAAAATATATTTATTTTTCCGGTAAATATGTTTTCGAGCACGTTCTTGTTCTGCTTAGCTAAGATAATTGAAGAATATTAGAAAACCCAACGCGTAGCTCGGGTCCGCTACGAGACTACGCGGCTACGACGCCCGCCGCCCTGCCCCGCCCCGCCCCGCCCTGCCCCGGGCACACTCGCGCGCTGTTTCTTTTGATGAAGTCGGTCCGCGTCGCACGATCGCCTCCGCTAACAAAACAAACTCCATCTACAGTTGGCACCGACTTTGTTAGAGCGGTACTAAAACTACTTAGGATTTCTCAAGCCGTAATTGATTGGTTTTTAGAATTATTTGTAATATGTTAGATTTACTATTGCACAGAAGATGTTAGTAAAAGGTTACATGTATAAAACATTTACTCACTCTTACATCTACTCATTAAATATTAACAATTAAAATTAACTTGATTTACTTAATCGTCGGAATGAAGTCATAATAATATGAAAACGGTTATCCCTAAAGGCACGAGATCTTAATTAAGAGGTCGTCTAGAGCCGCGTGCAAGGTGCGGGGTGCGGGTGCGGGGTGCGGGGCGCGGGGAGGGCCGCGTGATGCAACCGCTTCGCTGAACTTGGAGGTTTATTTAACTGAAATAAAAGGACTCATTTCTTGTTTCTTGGACTAACTAAACAAAGGCCTAACTAATCAAATTTGTCATAGGCCGTTTTAATGAAAAAGGGCTCATTAACAACTTAGCTTCTTAACAAGGATTAACTCGTGACCCGGAAAGAGACCCACTTAATATTAAACTATGCCTCGCCTCGCCCCTCAATGCCAGCGCAGTATACCCGCGGCAGTCCCTCGCTTACAATATTACTTACATTGTACACATGTAAACTAGATGTTACTTGTTTGACTTGTAAGTAAGAATGTTTAATTAATACAATAATAGCTTCAGTATGAACATCAAACATCGCTTCTGCTCATAGTGAGTTATTGTAAAGCCACTAAATTATTTAAACTCTACGTACATTGGTAACTACCTATTGTCCACAACTTTGTCACTATAAAAAAGTGTGCTTTCCGTTGTTTGTTTAAATTTTTATTATTTTCTCGCCCAAATATTTATTTTTCTTAAGAACCAGTTTTACAGTGGTAGTGCCCGCTTTAACGTCTTAGCACAAATGGGTCGGCACGCCCGGTGCAGTACCACGACCACACAGAAAACAGGCGTGAAATGGAAGCAATTCCGTGTTTCGTCTGATGAGTGTGGTGCCGGAGGCCTAATTTAAGTCCCTTTCTCTTTACCACCCTTTTCTTATAAGGAGTGGTAGGGATGGTGAAGTGGATTTGGCAGTGGAGGAGATGCATAGGAAGGGGAAATATCCTCTTTATGTGCGTCTCCTCCTCCGTCGTATAAGGGTAGGCAAGGCATCTGCAATTGCGGATGTCTATGGGCAGCGGTCGCTTCGCCATTTTGGCGGATTCTAGTGGCCGCTTGCTCGTTTGCCACCTTTTTGTTATAAAAAAACCTTTTAGAGAAATAATGAATATCGGTAAAATCATTCCCAGATTACGGAGTCACAAAGTTAAACAAAAATGCCTGAAGTGAAATTGTCGCCCAATTAAGTATAGGTTGTATGGAGAGTATTGAATGAGGTCGCAACTCGATGAAGATGTTAATGAGGCTGTGGAGGAGTCGTTAACATGCCGAGTGTCCGCGCCCGCCCTCGCCCCTGCCCCCTGCCCCTACACTACTCTCCACTGCCATATTACACCCGTGACTTCTTTATTAAGCACAACAAGTTTTAACAGCAATACAGATTATAATTAACAACTAGAACCGAAATTTTCATAATTTTATGAAATTCAATTTATTTGTAGATTGGAGATGTCATTTTATATGATTTTTTTTAATACATTTAGCTGTGAAATAGCAATGTGTGTGAATCAGCGCACACTGCGTACTTCAAACACTACATTATTCCTTACCGTTATATGATTGTTCGGTGCGAGACTGTTAACTTATTGTAACTTTATAAAACAAATTTGACAAGAAGAGATTCTTCCGTTCCTTCGACTGCTTTTTAATATTGAAACAACCGCCCGCCGCCCTCCGCTCTCGTATTTGCTTCGAACATCACGCATTTCACTAAACTCTGTACGTAGGCTGACGACTTCGAAGACAATGTTTATCAACGTCATTTTCGTTTTCAAAAATTAAATAGAATTTCTATTTAAATGTGTTACTTTCTCGGTCGCCTCTAATAAAAAGGGGTCACTCGTCGCTTTTCCTTTTTCCAAGAAGTATTTTTTTAAGGCGCGGCAAGTCCTTATGGGAATTTGTATAAAAGTTTTTGTAGTCTTTGAACATAAATCATGTCATTGATTTGCTCAAAGGTGAGGTCCTTCCGTCACGACAGGTCGTGGCGAAAAGTGACGGGCAAAGGATTACCCGCGCCGAGGTCGAGCCTCCCCCCCCTCCCCGATAGCTTCTCTACAATCTTCTTTTATAAAACTACATAGTTTCATTCTGTTTGAACTGTCGATCAATCTGAATAACTGTCTGTATACTTTCCTCAGCTATTTTATTTAAGCAAGGAGTTTTTGGTTCTTTTTTTTTCGTTATTTCTTGTGTTTTGATAATAAATAAAAGTAGTTGAAGAATAGTATAATTTAATAAAGCAAGGCACTGCACTAGAGGTTGGTGCCGGATTTGCCCGCGGCGCGGCGCCACCGAACTTGGAGCACATTTGAAAATTAATTAAATGAGGAGCACCGGCTTTACGAAAACCTGTGTCTGTGAGCTCCGCTTGTTGATCTAAATTAATTTGTATTTCACTCATATAATGTTACGAATTATGTCGGATATTTTGCATTTATTAAAATTGGTGTTTGTGTCAGTGAGCGCGCTGCGCGAGCACTGGGCGGAGGCGAACGCGCGCGTGCTGCAGCGCAAGGCGCAGCTGGACGCGATGCTGGGCGACTCGCAGCGCTACGAGGCGCGCCGGCGGGACGCGGACGCTTGGCTGACGCGCATGGAGGCGCGCCTGGCCGCCATGGCCCCGCCGGGACACACCGCCGACGTGCTCGACACGCAGCTCCGCGACCAGAAGGTACACACACATCGCCTACACTGCCCACACTGCCCACACTGCCCACACTGCCCACACTGCCCACACTCAACAACAACTTTGAGAACATTGAATGGATTGATACGGAACTATTTGTACCATTTCTTTCCCTGTATTAAGTGGTCACAGTCTTTAATATAAAGACCTATTTTCAATATAAAATCTCGATCTGAATTAATTAAAGCATTTTGAAACCAATATATTCATACTTAGCCTTAATTTACGTTCAGCAGCACGGTTACTGCTATAGTTGAATCATTAGCGCTTAATTCCTTATATTTCATCCTCCGCCCGCGACTGCTCCGTCACGCGCAGCCCTGAGGGTGGCGCTTTCAAATTTTGCTATTCAAACTATTGCACGTTCGCAAACAGAAAAAAATGAATTGGTTACTTGTCGAATATAATTGTTTTTTCACGTTTAAACATGGACGATTACATAATTTATTCTAAGCAACGATACATCGTCTGTATGGAGCAGTGTTTGTTACAAGAATGTAAATTGTTAAAAATCATAATACATGCTAACAACTGTATGTAAAACTTCACCTTTTTACGTTAAACGAAGCGTGAAATTGTTAAAACATGTAAAAGAAATTCAGATGTTAATTCAGGTTTGCGCCAGCCCTGGGCGGGGCAAAGCGTTTCAAAATGCCTTCAGTCGCATAATTGTTCCCATTTATTACGTCACCTTAAACACTAGCGCCGTAACGAGGGGGCGTAACGCCGTAACGCTGCCGGGGGATGGG